CTGACTGAAAGCGCTTCTCAGGGCAACGCTATAAGGAGTGCATCCAGGCCCCAGGCTAGCACATTAGCTCTGGCCTGGGGGTTTTGAAGTGGATCAGTTAGCATCAGGCATTTGTAGAAGATGGCCTCCACTTGTTTTGTTAGCACACCTCCTGATCTTTGCATAGGTGGGGCTATTCGGGAGCCATGGCAGCGCCCAGCTTGCTACGTTGCCGGTGCCCCCTGGTGGCCTGGCTGTATCTTTGCATGTCAAGTAGAAGGGACGACTGCCTTTCAGGGTACAACTCCTTGCCTGCTCAGCTCAGAGGAAGGTACATACTGCACGCTTACCTAATTAACATACTGCTCGCGGATCGTCTCTCACTGGCCCAAAGATTCCTCACATTCCTATCAGGTCTCAAATTGAGGTGTGGCATACATACTAAATTTGAAACCAAGGATAAAGGGAAAATTTTGCCAGAGATGCACCCAATCATCCCAGTGTTGCTATAGATACATTCTGAGTTGACATCATAATATGCTCCAGAAGCTGAGGAGCGCAGTTATGTGTAGGATTTTTGCAGTTGGCCTCTGTTTATTTCCATGGAAGAATACAAAAGACTGATGTACTAAATCCTGGGATCCTTGTTTAACATGATTACATATAAATCATGCTAAATGACAATTGTGTATCAAGCACATTTTTTGTTACTCTGTCTCCTTTTAAAACTACATGATGATCTGATAAATGCAAGGCATTGTTTCCCCCTACTAAAAATTCCCTCTAGTGTAGTACAAAATTATCACCGCTACACTGAATCACACCCAGTCCCCACAGCGCTCAGAAACAGCACTTCGCCAAAAACTGTGACCTCAGCGACTCCCATCTGCCTTTGCTGACTGGACACTCACCCACCCAACCCCCCCCCCCCAAACCCCAACCTCACCGGTGGCCGTCATGGGCAGACGGGTGAGGGTCAGAAATCCGGCACCCCCTGTGACATCGCTGTGCGTGGTACCCTGAGCATCCCAGTGATTTTCCAGGGGTTTCCATATGGTCTGGTGCCCTGCTGTCACAGACCCACCAAATTCTCCCCCGCCCCCTTTCTGCTGTAGTCAGTCGCACCCTTTTTTCGAAGAAGGGACGTCTGCCAAAATCCTCTTCATAGAAATTACCTTAAACAATTAAACAGGAAGCATTAATCCCCACTGCAAGCTCATCTTCCCTCCATCTCTGTGCAACAGTTCCCTTTAATTAGCTCTTCACTCGCAGCCATTAGCAGGATGCTTCCATATCTTTGACAATTACCACCTGCTATTTTTGGGCGCGGGTGACTCTGAAGAATGACCCACCAGATCCTGCCATATCAGGTAGTCTCTCTCTCCAACGGTTTATCTGTTCCCCAACCCCTTGCGACCACCGCTATTCAAACGTACCTCATTAAATACGTGAAATCCGCCTTCAAACTCAACGGTAGAGAAAGGTGTCACTAAGGGGGATGTTCCTGACCAAAACCTGAGCCGTTAGACGGAGCCCTTTTTTCTTGTTTGTTTGTCGGATCTGAAAGCTGCAGTAGGACCGATCGCTGATACATTCAGCTCGAGATGAATTGCAGTTTCGCAGAATTGACTTTTCGATTACCTTTCAGAATCTGACACTGACGTGTTTGCAGCCAATCAGAGAAGCTGTAAAATTCACCCTGTGCTTTTTATTTAATGTATGATTTAATACTAGACGTCTCTACTCTTTCTACTTGCTACACTGTCAAAGAAGAAAACAATGTGAATGTCCGAAAGATAACGATTCCTGCCTGGATCTCTCCGTATCGATGTCTGTTCAGGGCCAGCCCTATATACAAGACAACCCACTGATATGTAATACTTAGCACATACATAGTAAAATCAGGGGCTGTCACAGTTTTTTCTACAGGGGACAAACTCTTAGGATTATTCTTACAAAAGCAGTCAGCTGATTCATAACACCCAGCACGCACGCACACACACAGACACACACACATAGAGAAAATCATCTTCTAAGTGTGAAAGGAGAAACCGACAGATTGGATTGACGTCAGGCTGCTGTTATTTATGCAACCCGTCCTCGCAGTGTTGGCATGTGCAAAACGGTAATCCTCCTGAAAGACCCTATCATCTCATAAGCCTGGGTATCAGAGCAAATTTGTGGTTAAGGAATTAGAAGGGTGAGTGGGTGGTAACGCAGGGATCCTAAAATGACTACTGCTGAACTAGTGACTTTAATCACCCCGGTAATATCTGACTGTACAGATGGATACAGTCTAACGCTGTTAACTAGGAAGCCGCCTCAGGTGAAAGTGGCAGCTAAGCATAGAGATAACTATCTGACAGACCACTCCGGTGTAATTATGCAGCAACGCTTAACGTGCGTCTTATCTTAAGGTTTGCTCGGAAGTGCGCAAAATATACAGCATGCATCAGAAGGAACCGGATGTGATCTCGTAATCTGCGACCTCTAAGGGCTGCGGAGGCTGACCATTCCCACACGTGAGTTGGCGGCGGGCGAGTCATGGCACGACCCCCCTGAATTGCGTTGCTACGGCATGCTCCCCTCAGTACGAGCGTAATAAGAGCGCCTTAGGGAAAGGAGCACTCGGATTAAATGTTGCATGTCATTTAGTTTCCTAAGCCTGTTTCCCAAACCGTCCCCCCCCCCCAGTACAGAATAAAGGCTAATTATGGATGCTGGTGTTTGGTAAGCAGGCGGTGGGAGACAGAGTTCTCACTGGAGCTAGAGGAAACTCTACATGTTTGGGAGTAAGAGCAAACATCACAACACTGATACACCCCGCCCTACAGGGGGTACTGTTGAGCACTATCCACTGTCCTCTTTGACTGCTTGTAGACTGCCAGAGGTCCCCATGGGAATCGTCCTTCGCTTCGCTGGCGTACGGCACGGGAAATGCAACAGCTAGAATGCAAACGCACTATGTCGCCTTATCCTTGGCGCCGCACGTTACCGCCGTTGGACCCAATTACCGCGGCAACAGAGGGCGCATGTAAAACGGAAGAAAAGGTCGGCTGTACGCTACCACCGCTCGTTATCTCCTTAGTGTTCAGCAACGCAACTCGCTTCACGAGTCTCTTAATGCCAGTTTAATGGGAGAACGACAACATTTTAGAAGGGGGTTTCTCTGTCAGGGGCAAAGACCAAAGGACAAACAGAAATGGCGACTTGTGGATGGAGGCGCTTGGGAGATGTTCTCTGGTGGCCATATTTAGCTACATGGCCCAGGCCAGTTCCTTTGTACACCCCAAGGAGCACTGCGTCCTCTAAGTTCCACAGAACTGAACACAGCTCCCCTTTGCTCCCCTATATTGATACGTTTCCTTTATATTGATTCCAGCATCTGTTAATTGCAAAATTAACAAAAGTGCGCCATTGCATTAATTTCCATAGTTGAGTCAAGCCTTGCATCTGAGTAGGCGGATCAAATCGGGGTTGCTTCATTTTAGTTTAAACACTATAGCATTTTTAATCAAATATCCAAAATGAATAAATCTGAGCGACTCTACATTAATATGGATACCTTTGCTATGAATATCCCTTCCACTTATTGGCTAGCGGAAGAATTATACACAGACAAGCTGTAAAATAAACTGTTTACTGCCATATGGAAATGATCTGATGCCTGCTCTGTGTTTTATATAAAATAAGGTTAATTTCAGTAATTTTCATTCGACTTGATTTTAGCATTGGTAGCGCCTAACAATCCAATATTATCTGGAAAAAGTCCGATGTACAGCCCGTACCAACAGACACGTCGAAGGGCTCATTTTCCCGAAGACAAAGATGCTCTCTCGCATTCATCTCACCCCGTTATCACCCCGGACGAGTCGACCAGACGCGTCCCCCTCATTTCCGAAAGGCTAGCTTATGCACGCGGCTGGACGGGCTTACAAATAAGGTTCTGCTCATTAGGTACGTAGCCGGCATCAATAATTTCCGTATCGCAGGCATTGTCAGAGATTACAGGGAAATATCACAGGTGTCAAAGCATCAGGTGGCAATTCAGCCGGGCCCCTCTGCTGTCACTTGGAAGCGGCATTAGCCTGAAGCAATGACACATTGATTATAATTGTACTCATGTAAAAAACATGGCTGATTTCACAATTTTTCAAAGTATATAATTATGGCTTTACAAAATGTCTCACAGGGAAAGTGGGGGAAGGGAGGGAGAGATGGCGAGCGTAATAAAGTGGAAGAAATTACCCGTTAGGAATTCATATGTGAAAGGGATGGATATTTGATTAAAAAGGCTAGATAAACCATTGGACCCTAACCTACAACAACTTCCGAAGGCCATCGGAGAAACAGCGGTGATGCGCCGGCCTGAGCCAGCAGGAGGCGATGTTGGAGGGCACACAGCATAGCGGCGCTTGAATGCCAGTAGCCATGGACGCATACAGGAGGAATGTTGATGAATACAGAATTTAAAAGACTATTAGGCATCATAATGTTACGAGAACCTTTTAGGAGAAGACATGCAGCAGCGCATTTTTTTCCGGAGGTTTCCGGGACACAGTAACTGTGTTTGAGTTTATCACCCGGATTCTCCGGCAGTGCTGCGGCCGTTAGGAATGGCGAGGAAGTTTCAGGAGTTTCCAGAAATCATCAGGAAGGAGCAGGTGCACAGCTGGGGAGTGGGCAGTGGAGAGAATCACGGTCTGGGTGACGGACAAGTTTCGGAAAAAGACGCGAGGACTTCAGCTCACATGGAATTGGTCCCAGGGAGTCTGAGACGAAGCACCAACTCCCTCCCTCTCCGTCCATGTAGGGAAGGTTCACAACTCAGGGGCTGAGAGAGGCTAGGGGTCAGAGGTCAGCTTGGGTTGGGCAGTTGACATCAGCTTAACCTCTGCTCCCATCGCTCTGGACCACACTGAAGCTTCATTCTCTCCACCGCCGATTGGCCACAGCCTGCCTCTGCCGGGGGCAGGACCCAAAGTCCGCTGGTGTTTGGCAGGGAATATTTCTTTTTTTACACGTGGTGCTTTTTGAAGGTGTCCCAATTCGAGAGAGATGTCTCCCCTTCTTGCCAGTATAACACAAACAAAACGGTTTGGCACCTATGAGTTCTAGTCCGACCTCGGCAAAAGGGTTAAATAAGACTCTCCCAAGTAGAAGATGAACAAACACATACATGAATAAATAACAGCATTTTAAGCGAGACATTCTTGGGGGGGGGGGTGGGAGCCGGCGCATACCATTCTTATATTGAAGCGATACTCTTATATTGTTTCGGCGTTGCTGCTGTGACACCGCGACTAGGCTGGCTAGAGACTGCGGCGCAGGGTCCGGCAAAGACGGCAGAGTCCAGTTATTTTCCCGCCTCTCAGCTTTGGAATGGCCTAGATTTACAGGAGGCTGGAATTAAATCTGCATCATGCAGCATCAGAATGTCTTAGCACAGGCTTGTTATAGAAAATGTGAAGAGAGCTGGTTGTTGGGGTCGTGATGGGGCTCCCGCATAGGTACACGATGACAAAGCGGTATTAGTGCTAAAAGCTGTCAGTCTGGTGTTGTCGCTCTTTCTGGCATTGTGTCGTCTCGGTGGCAGAGGTCAGAGGTCAAGGCCCCGGTGTGGATCGATCTGCCAGGTTGAGCTCCGTTTGCCCTCAACCGTGCAGCTCCCCAACGCTCTGCCAGTTCTCAAGCCCCGAAAAGTCTGCCGTTGGCCTCTGCTGGCTCATAGATGTTACGTAACTCCACGCCAGTCGAGTGGTTCTGGTCCTATTTCTTTTCCCTCTCTTTTGGCAGTTGCAGTAGCTATCAAGTCACTCCTACTCTCACACTTTTTTTCTCTTCATTGTCCATGAACTCCTTTGCAAAATCTGTTCTTTTTTTGTTTTAAATACATTTCATGACAGCACGTTCCCTGTCAAAGTACAAAAAAATAACAAAAAACAGAAGCACACTGTGTCATTTTCGCTTGGTCTTCTCAGTAGATTGTCGCTTGAACACTGAGCTACGTGGGAAGGCGCAGTGTCTGTACCCCACCCGCTTTTCTTCTCCTCCGTTCCCATCATAGTTCCTTTTTGTAGCTGTCAGATAGCTGTGGTGAGATGAACACCGAGATGCGCGAGGTATCCAGTGGCCAAACGTCTACGTCCTTCCTGGCCCAGGTAGGCCTGGGATGGCCCAAACTGCTGTCCCCACCTTTACACAAGTCCAACAAGTTTTTTTTCTTTTTTTCCTCTTAAACCAAAATAAAATGCCAGAAAAATTGCAAAGCTACTTTTCTAGACTACTTTGCTAGACTATCTGTTACAGCAAATGGCTACCAGAACAAATCATCTTCATTCCTTCCACCCTTATTTTTTACATCTTATTTTCTTAACTTTTATAGCTCTTTAATCTTATCCTTTATCCATATTTCAGCCACTGGATACTGATTTAATGGTTTGTTTAATCTAACTACTATTAAATTGTAATACTTGCAGCTACAAGGTAAGAGAGTTTGGAGATTATATATACATACATACATACATATATATATATAATCTTTTAAAAAGCATTTAGTCCTTTGGTCCCTATTTTCTAAGGAATGATGTGTGTAAATAATCCTGGATTCTCCTCTTCTATGTCCATTTTGTCCAGAGCATAACTCACCCTGAAAGCCCAGAAGTTAGGGCTCTCAGATACCTGTGTAGGCACAAAAACCAAAAAGCCAGCCAGCTGTGGAGAGCATAAGCGCGCAAGCATGTGCGCACGCGCATGTGTGTGTGTCTCTCTCTGTGCATGTGTCTCTGTGTGTGCTTGAGCATGTGTTGGTATGCGTGTGTGTGTTTCTGTGCTTGTGTGATCGTCCGTGTCCAGAGGACGTGCTTCGTGCATGATCTGTGTGTTGCAATCTTCCATCCGGACTCAAAAATCAGCAGCAGAAATTCGGTCTTGGTAAACTCCTCCTCCAGGTACAGTGAAAAAAAATTATAAAGAAAAAAATCAGGGAAGGGAGACGAGGGGGGAAAGGCAAAAAAAGAGTAAACCTGCTTCCTTTTTTCAGTCGCCCGATTCTTCTGTTTCTTTCCTGAATAACCAAGGGATCAACCTTTGTTCATGATATGTAGCAGAGCAAGAAGTCTTTGCACTTATACTGCACTTGTGGAAATAAGGTTTTGTGGTCCTTCATCCTGCAAGGTGTGAGAGAGAGAGAGAGAGCGAGAGAGAGAGAGAGAGAGAGCCGTCAGACTGTGGGGCATGGTGGACACACATGCACATGTGCAGAACACACACCAGAAGGTGCCAAGACACATACATGTGAGCACCCGGACATGTGCACGAACACACGCACAGAGGTACATGCACATACACACATATCTTTGTGGGGACCATCCATACATTTCTATAAGAAAAACCCTAATCCAAACAATGAGAACCTTAACCCCTACCCAGCCCTAGACTTTAGCCATAAACAACCAAACAGAGTACAAGATTCTGTTTGGTTTTTAGTTTTTTGATTGTATTCATAGATTTTTATAAAACTGAGTTTCTCCTTCTGATGACCAAAGAAATGTCCCCACAAGGTCAAAATAAGCTTTTATCACATTGTAAGAACATTTGGTATATATACATAGCCCACCCAGCCACCCACACACACACACACACACACACACACACACACTAGGTATTTATATCTTCGTGGGAAATTTCCATTAATTAACCCAACTATGACAACAATGACAAACCCCTACCCAGCTCTTACTTTAACCATAAGAAACCAAACAAAATTTTTTGTTTTTTGATTCTATTTCAATTTTTTTTTTACAAAATTGTCCCCCCAAGGTCAAAATAACAGCTTTTTAGCACATTGTGGGGACACACATACACACACACACAAAGACAGACAGACAGACAGACACAATTAATAATCAGCAGGAAGGGTAACTGAAATGGGGAGCATTAATGAGAGCGAACAGCTCACTGTCAGAGGCTGCTGTAAATCTAATCAGGAGTAGAGGGGACACAGAGGACAGGATGTGCTACAGGTGAATGGAAACAACACAAACCGTAATAACAACAACACGGGTAAATGCTGTAATGTTTACATGGCACAGTAATTGGAGGGAAAGTAATCACTTCATTACTTACGGCTGAGAACCTCTATGTTTTGTCCTTTTTTTTTCGCCAAACCTTTTTTTGAAAGCGTTTCCTCTAAATCCTCAATCGGTACGAGTACAATTCATTACCAGCAAATATTAAGTGGAGGAGATTTTTATTTTCCTCAGCCATTGGAAAGCGTAGCCTTCAGTCGGCAGAGGTGCCGCGCTGAAGAATGCGCCCCAAACGGATGCCCTCGCGGATGGCAGGAATGTCCCGGGCCGGTACTCTGACCCCTGCCCGCCTCCTGCCATGGCACCCGCGCTGCCGTGCCTCGATAGAGCTGCTGCCCCGTTTCCACCAGTGTGGCACATATGTGCTTTATCTCCAGGGGAAAAAAAAAAAAGATTCTGTCATGTTTACTGATGGTGGAATTCATCTGTTTAAAGGAAGGAAAAACAGCACGATGGTGCACAGATGTCATGGCCGTGAAAAAAGAAACAGAGAAATACAGTGACTGTAAAAATGTACTGGGCCTAAATCACAAGCCTTAGCAGTTTTAGAGTGGAAAAATAAAGGGATTAAGAAGAGGAGTTTGATCTTTCCGTGTCGCTTTCAGCGATGGGGAAGATGCACATTATCTGCTGCATACATCCTTATCTTATACCGACGTCAACAGATCTCCTCTCGATTCTGATTGGTTCTTTACGAGCACGGTCACTGAACTGTATCTGAGGTGGACCTAAGGGGGACATGGAGAGGCAGGGGCGATTCTAGGATGATTTTTTTTTTTATATGTGGGGACATTACTGATACAGAAGGGCCAACCTTGTTGGTAGCCAATGATATTATTTGAATCTATGAGTGACAGGGCAGCGGGTATATTGGGGGCCAATCAGCTTCCAGCTGGGACCAGTGCCTCTGTGGCCCCACCCATGCACAAACGCCACCAGAAGGGATGGCTGAAAAGCCCACTAACCTGTGCCTGTTCAAGCTTAACAGCCTTCCTAGTGTTGCCCCATGGAAACAGGAGAGAGAGTCCCTTCTACGAACGGGGCCTTAATGCTGGAATATTCCAGAGGAGACATGTGTGTTTTCCCTGACCCTCATGCTTCCACCCCTTCTGTCACATCACCTGTCAGCATAAAAGGCTCAAAAAGGACAGAAAACGACTGTGAGACCCTTTGCTGAAGCTCCCCAGCTGGACGGATAATAATAATAGCAATTCCGTATTAATAACAAATATATATGCGTGTCATTTCCAGGCAACAGCACCGCTCTAAATGAGAGATGCATCCTGTTTCCGTGGCGATCCGCTGGCCCCGTGCGGCACAGGGAAACTGGAGTCCCTTGTTTAGCTGTGGGTTATTGAGCTGTAATTCTAGCTGTAGCACCGGATTATTTGGCGTGCAACAAGTTGGCTGCCGCTTGACAAGAGTGTTAGTGGTAAAGCTTCCCAGATAAACAGAATCAGGCCTCGGTATAATGCAAACAAAAGCAGGACGGAGCTGTGCTCCCAAACGTGGTTCCGCTGAATGCCGAAAGCTTCAAGCGACTCTGAATCAGCGCAGTCGGTGGATGGGCAAGGCCTGGCTTTATCCACCCGTGACATCACATCCTCCCTCCTCAGACGCGTATCCCTGTAGCCCGACCGTGAACACTGACAGCTCCAACGAAAGCCGTCCTTTTACAACTGCTGGCGTAACAAGAGCGGAAGTCGGCATCAAACACAAACAAGCATTGTTGTGGAGAAGCTATATATATATCAGGAAGGTGTTGTTGCATAGCAAACACACGGAATTTCACAAAATAAAGAAAATGCACACAAGCCCACGTTACGACAGCAAAAAAACGGGTCAAAGTTCACGGCCGATCATGATCAACCAGTCAGCTGCCACTTCATATGTACTTACAACACCCACTGACCATCAAAAGGCAATTAAACGGCACTGCACACATTGCCAAAAAGAGAATATATAGAGAATACTGAATTATACAATCGACGACCACTCCATGCAACTGTGTCACAGTCCCTCCACATGACGTCATTCAAAATAAAATGACACCATGGGTTCAACTTACAGGTGCGAGTTTTATTTTCTCCCCGTGCAGCGCGGCTAGACAACGGGAGCGAGGCAGGCCGTCCGGGGCCACGACTGACCTGCTGGCTTTGCAGGCCGGCCGGGTGCAAAAGAAGAAAACATGCAATGGGATTTCCTTCCCCAATTTCCTGCAGATCACACATTAATAGTGCACACAAAAAAAAGAAAATAAAAAAAAACTTAGAGATTATGAAGGAGTGAGCTCCCCTTTGAAAAAGGTGAAAATTCACTCGACGAACTGGCTCCATTTAATTGTGCATTTGTCTCTTTATGAATTGTTCATCTGTTGATTAGAACCAATTTGGCTACTCAAATCATGTTTGATTCAATCCGACCTCTGAAATAGCTATAAAACGTTATCAATCATATCAATTTAGCCCGCATGATTGATTCGTTAATTCGCAATTAGAGTTATTCACTACATCAACTGGAATAGTTACCATATATATTTACGACTACTAACAAAAAATACGCGTTTGAGTGAGTGTGTGTGCGGCTTTAACAGCCCATGACTGTCAGTCCACGTGGTGTTTGTCTGTTACTTCTAAACTCTTCGTCAGTTGAGTCCCTGTTCCACCAGCTTCCAGAAGCGCGACATCAAATAGGTGACCAGAATCGAAGTGTATCTCTGGGAGGCTCGAGCTTCTGAAACGTGGACTACTTATAAATCTCCTGTGACAGATATGCATTGATTACCTGCGGTCTCAGATTTGCAAAGGCAACGACAAGCGCAAGACCTGCGAGCTTCTGATATCTAAACAGAGCTGACAGCGGGGACGGATATTTCAGCAGATCAATCACCTGGTGTGTAACAGAAGCTCCCTTCACATCAAAAGGCCGTTGACTCATGATAAACACAGATATCGACTGTTGATGCTGTTGCATGCATATAAACATTGCCTGTTTATTGACATCAGATACTATAATACAAGTGTTGAAAGAAACATGGTTATTTCCATTTCAGCAGCTACCCCACAGTTCTTAAAACAGGTTTTTTATGAAGAGACTTTGCTTACACTATTTATATTCATGGGTCTGTATACACAGAGCCAAATGAACAGAGGCACATGGCAGCCATCTTTAAATCGCAAGTTCTACTCACCTATGATGCAAACCTATTGACCAGCCACTGGGGCAGCACTAAGCTACCAGCGGCCACTGTGTCTGTGAACCAACATACATTTATATTTGATTTATCTGGCAGACACTTTTGTCCAAAGCAACGTACAAGTGAGGCGAATAGCACATTACTAACATACAGCTGTCACAGAGTCGACTAGGCGTAAGTGCAGCTTGGATGAGCTTTCAGTGAATGTCCAGGTACAAGTGTAAGCAGTATTGGATTGGTGATAATGGTTTGAGAAGTGATTCATTGAAGAAAATGGTTAAAAAGAACACAGACACATGAGGAGGAAGACAGCGACAGGCCAACAGACAGGACCACAACGGCATGAAGGCAGACATTTTAAACAGCCCCGCGTCTTTAGGGAGACAGTACCACACACAATTGGGGTCTTTTTGGGGGCGAGCCGAACTGGGCCGAGACCCTGCAGCCAGTCCACTTCTCCCTCAGGTGATGGTTTCCTCAGTCTGAAATGGCTGCTGTCAGACACACGCTGGGTGTGTCAAAATGATTCCCCGCGTCGCCCGCTCTTTCATTTCCCCTCCCGGCCTCCCTCCTGCGGCCCCTCTGCGACAGCCATTTCAGACCTTTCACCATTTGAAGTGGACTGTTTTGGACATTTTTTCACTTGTGATTATTGTCATTTTCAAAATTTTCATGTTATTACTGGCTATTGTAGTACTGGCCTACTTTCCCCTAGATTACCCAATTTTTCAGGCCACTGATTGTTGTGCCGGTATTGACGGCTTGCTTTGAAATGATCATTTTTAATACTGCGTAATTATTCACAGCAGCGCTGATATAATTTCATTAATATTATTATACTTTTCAGCTTACTCACACTTATCAGATTATTCATGCCATTGATCTATTTTCGCAGGGCGCGGTCTCCGCCGCTCGATATGTCACGGCATTAAAGAATGCTGTAAGTCTGCCCCCGTCTAACAGGACCTCCTTAGGTTGCCGTCTGTCGCTCTCATTATTTTATGTTCTACCGGAGGTACACAAAAGCTACTTCAAAAGGCCAAATTAGCGGAAGAGAAAATACACTACGATGAAACCGATAATGAAAAAAACACTCTGACTGCATAATAAAGGCAGTTTGCGATTGGATTTTGAAAGCCTTGTCTGTACTGAAAGGGTGTGTTGTGTGTTTTAACGCTTCCTCAGTCACCGTTGCATGTAAAACGTACAGAGTCACTGACGTGACCGACTTTCCTGCGACTGTCTACGTTGCTATCAGTCGGAGTGCACTGTGCTGTACTCCAGGTCGCCTGCCCGCACGATGTGGGTCGGCCTCTTCTCGATTGGACGGCAGAGGCCGGGCTCACCTGGCGCGGACGGCAGCAAGGTCAGTAAGGTCTGTTGGCGTCCTTTGGCCGCTTGAGCTGCACCTTCAGCCTCTTCATGCCGATCTGGAAGCCGTTCATGGCCTGGATGGCGGCCTGGGCACTGGACGGGTTGTCAAAGCTGACAAAGCCTGGGGGAGGGGGGTGGGGGGGGGCAGGGGAGTGAACGAGGGCGGCCACAGGAGTCGTGACGGGTATTATCTTTACATCACATTTACATTTATTTATTTAGCAGACACTTTAATCCGAAGCGACGAGCAATCGAGAAAGCGGGGCCAGTCAGTCCCAGGGACCATTGGGGTTAAGAGCTTTGCTCACGACCCCAGCAATGAAACCACTGCGCTGAGCATGGGATTTGAACCGCCGACCTCCTGATCACGAGTCCACCACGAGTTGCACACCACCCGCGTTACCCCACACGAATACCACCACCGTCTGGCAAAGAAACGATAGGCTGGTCCAGCCTCATTTAGGCCTAAACTAAAGCGACTGTGTACCAGGTTAAGGGCTAGGATTTATGCCCAGTATGCTATTGGTTCAAACTGGAAGAAGAAGTGTATTGGATAACCATTAATGTCATCTAGTAATGGGGGAAATGAAGCCTTAAACCTGTGGCGGGTGGGATTATCCTGAGCTGTCAATAACTGATGAGTTTAATCCACTGCCCACTGATTAAATGATCGGTTCTTACTGACACTGATTGACTGATAATCTCACCCAGAGTGGATTCTAAGGTCTGATTTTACCATCCAATGCTCCGATGTCCAGAGTTACACCACCAGTCAAATGTTTTTTGCATCTACTGAGATTTTCTACATTTATTCACATGTTATTCACTAAACATTTACTAGAAATAAACTAAATGTTCTTTACTAACAAATTCACAATATGTTCACCATTTGAGTACTTCTATTTACAAAAAAATGTCATATTTTTGATTCTTCATAGTAGCCTCCGCTAGCGGCTACAACAGCAGGGAAAATTTGAGGCATTCAAGGGACATTAAATACTGCTCTGTTTTATGGGATGAAACAGTTAACTGCTGCATTTAAAGTTAAAGGACAGCCTAGAATTTGACTGCCATCACCACACAACCAGGTAACAGGATGTCAGACATTAACTGTTACATACTCTCTCCATGCTAAAAAAGAAATTTGTTTTATTTGACTTATATTTTCATTCACAATTACAACTTTCCAATGCTTAACAAGAATAAAAAAAAACTACAATTTATGGAATAAATGGAAAAGTGGTAAAAAAGAAAACTCTGTTGTGTAAAGACTTTTGACTGGTTTATGTATAAACAGAATGAATCATAAAAATTAAGCCATCTATGGCCATTTTGATCAAAGATTTGCTTGGCTAAATTAAAATAAAATTTAACTGTATTCCAACCAAATGAAGTGAAAGCAGAAGTAACACATAAAAGTAAAGAGACAGAGAGTAAGATTTAGCTGGACCAAAGAGATGAGGAGAGATGAGCAGAGACAATGAGGGACCTGGCTGAAGAGCGACAAGGAGAGATGAGGAGAGACAATGAGGGACCTGGCTGAAGAGCGACAAGGAGAGATGAGGAGAGACAATGAGGGACCTGGCTGAAGTGGAGAGGAGGCCAAGGAAAGAATAGAAGAGAAAAAGACCTTTAATAAACCCATTTCTTCGGAGTAGGTTTAATAAACCTCAGTCCTATATACTTTCACCCCAAAATGCTATTGTGGGGGAGATGGCAAAGGATGGAGAGACAGAGGAAGTGGATTAAATGGCTAAAAGACATAGGATGCTTTGGCTGAGAATAAATTAAAGCCCCGAATACCTGTATGTGCCTGTAATTCTTTAAGCCACCATAAGACGCACTTTATGAGGCATGAGCCGCTTTCTGAGGCTCCACACATCCCCCATAGTCTGCTGCCGTGACCCAAGTCATACAGGCCTGATGTATTTAAATTACAGCTGTTTCAAGAATAATAACAGACTGCCATCCATTCAAAGGGTTAAAGACTGAGTCCTGCGACTTTACGAGAGAGTTAACCCCCCCCCCCCCCCCCCTCCCATCGCCCCCCCACTCTGCATGGGAACGCTGTCCCATTCGGAAGGAGGGCGGGCACCTCCCTGGGAATTTCCTGCTCGATTTCAGTTCTGTGATTTTTTAGCAAACATCCTGACCTACACAGAGACAACCCCCGCCCCACCCCACCCCCCCTCATACCGCCGTACGCCAGTTCACGGCGTTCAAGGGCAAGTCCCCCGAATCTGCCCCCCACCCCCCCACCCCCGGCTGATGACACCTGCGTTTACTGGAGCGGGATTAACACCTTATATAACCTCTAAGTAAAGCCCTATAAACCCATCCTTATTAATTTAATATGACTCAGAGATGCAGGCTATTCTCATCTCGCCTGCTTCCCCCCCACCCCCCAAACCTCAATATTGAGGGAATAAATATGTCGCAGGCGCCGAGGACCCTGATCCCTGGCTCGAGATCGCAATTCATTATAAACCTTTTTAAGCTGACTCTTCCGTGGGGGAGGCCGGGAAGTCATAGGAATATGAAGGCGACCTTTCCCCGCTCGCCCGTCCGCCGCGCTGTCGGCCCGCTTTAGCTGTTTGTCTGAGCGGCCGGAGCGGAAGGCGTGACCGGGGCCAGACGGGAGCATTAATTCACCCCCCGGCTCTTCTCGGAGCCGTTTTCATGGTTTTCGGGTTACGATGCCGGGAACCACAGGCTCGTCCAATCCCGTCGCACCGGCCTGGACTCCCGAGTGTCACGTGACCAACGGGAAGGAAAAACAGGCGGAGATAAGTGTGGGGCTTCCTCCATTTGTCTGGCTAATTTACCCCACTGAGTGTGGCGCATGACGCCCGAGGTCTCAGCACTCTGCGGGCAAACCCCCCCAGTTATGAAGTAATGGCACATCAAGACATAACAACCTGAGCTGCCTTGAAAGCTTTTTAAATCTTCTCCGAGGCTCATTATCAGCGCAGGGCAGCGGCGCTGACTCTCCGCTCGTATATTTCCATCCAACTTCTATAGGGGAATCGTAGCACCATTTTAGCATGTTTAATGCACTTATTTTTGTATTCAAAAACTGGCATATATCTTTACTTTAGTCTCTGAATAAGACACCCTGTGGAGGTCAGTAAAGGGCGATGTCCTCGGTTCTAGCACACCAAGACAGACAGGAGGACTTACAGATCCACGGCGCTACGGTACTGGCAGGCAAGCGTGGGGAAATCGGCGAGGACGGGAGTTTGAACAGTGGCCCAGGGGCTGTAGGGGCTGGTCATGTGACCGAAACTCAGAAAGGTTGCCGGGGTTGGGTTGCGTTGTGCGGCTGGTAAGGTCACAGGCCTGTTCTGGGGGGAGGTCAGCCAGAAAGCCAAACACGCTGTTTAAAATCACTATGACTGGTATTAGGGGAGACACGACATCCCAGAATTACAGGGCACCTTGATCTGGGCACTCAGGACACCCCACCCCCCTCACCTCGGCCAGCGCACAGGAAAGCTGACAACCCCAGAGGTGATCCAAAGCAAGGACGACTTTACTGATCTTGGTGAAGCGATCGGTCTCGCCACAGCATTGGATAATGTGGGATTCCTGAACGAGTCCATTCCGGTTCCGGAGGCGAGTCCCACTCACCGAAACATTTGCTCTGATTGGTCGCCCGGTCCACAAAAACTTTGGCAGAGATGACGTTACCGAAAGGCAGGAACATCTGCGTGAGCTCGGCGTCTCCGAACTCCTGGGGAAGGTGGTAAATAAACAGGTTGCAGCCCTCTGGTCCTGGAAACAGGCAGATGGGGGGGGGGGGGGGGGGGGGGTTGGTGGGCAGAGTGGCAAAACAGCCAAATTCACTAATAAAAGCACAGTGTGCGTCATATTTGCCACCTGTTAAGTGGCTCCCAAAACTCTCATCTCAAATACAGTATTTCTCTGATGAACAGAGAGAAGTACAAGGAAACACACAGACTCAGGGCTGGAGTCCTTTGCTTTATGCTTTATAAATGACATAATTAAACTTTAATAATACAGGTACATATTGCTGGCTGCAGATCTGCTTTGGGACAGTTTCCCTCAGTCTCATAACTTCCCGAAATGGTGAATATCACTGCAGTGAGGGTGCGCCCAGCCAAGCACGGAAATGACCTGCCACATGGCGATTTATTAACATAGATTTGGGCTACCGTCCCTTTAAAACAAGGGGAGCTTAAAGGGGAGGGACCTGACAGCAGAGGAAAGGACAGTAGCTGGGGACCGGGGACGCGTGAGACTGACCCGCGGAGCTGTCCGCAAACACCGCAGCCCAGCTGTTTACCGAGCCCTTAACGGCGGTAAATAACGAACAGATTGGCGTCGCCTGAGAAAGCGTGCCAGCCTGCCCCGGCTTCTGCCGCCTGGCCCTCCTCTGTGGCCATGCTAGCCGGCGTCCCGATTCGTCAAAGCCAGGTTCCGGTGCCCCCCCCCCCCCCGAGCCACCAGACACTCTCACTCAGAAAGGTATTAAGCGCAGCACCTGACTGAATAACAGTCTTTAAAAAGACATGAGAGTGATTTAGGGGAAACAGAGAGCGTAGCTCTGCAGACCCCATCAGGCCTTTTAATAATTCACACACGTTTTATGAGGATTTTTCACCGCTATAGACTTTCACCGCACAATGTAAGAACCTCCCTCGTTCGACCCACTGACACAACTGACAGAACTCTCACAGCCCAATTGTGGCTCTTCACCTCCGCATTTAAAAACGAGGTCTTTCCTGTGCCTGGGCAGTGTGACCAGCTTCTGAGCTGCGATATAAAACAAGATGAGATGTCCTCACACTGGGATGTGCGGAGAGCCTCACGGCACCGTGTAAGATCAACGTTACAGTGAGGTTCGAGGCAGATGAGTTACGGTTCAGCCAGTGTGCCCCAGCTACCATCGTGGTAGTCTCACAAGAGCAGTGTTCACCAAATGCCCATCTCCGCCTGTGTTCTCAAAATAAAAACAAACCAAGAGACTCCTCCCCTTCCAGACGTCTATGGAGCGAATGCAGTGCACATGCCTACCAGTTACCTCCTCGCTCTGCTAATTTAATGCATGGAGCACCAGAATGGAACAGGGCAATTATCACCTTTTATCTTGGATGGGAGGGGCCTCTCTTACCTTCTCTTTGTTGCTGGGGAATGATGGCTGGTTGCTGTGGAAACGCTTGGCTGATTGGCGCATAGGCGGCTGGGTAGGCTGCTGTAGCGAGGGAGAGTGGAAGGGTGGGAGAGGGGGGGGGGAGCGGATTACACTCCAAATTTCACACTTGTTTTCAGTTTCACAAAACAACCTTGAGCTGTACCATACTCGCTCACTGGTGGACAAATAGACCGGCGCCGCTGCCCAACACGTGCTGGCAGCCCCCGCATCAGTGCCGGAATAATGCCGTCGCAATTAAGGGTGCGGGGGTGCGGGGGAGCGGGGGCTCGGGGAACGGCGGGAAGCGGGCGTCGGCCACAATCAGAGTCACCTGTTATGTTTCCAGGTTCGATTAGCGGGTCGTGTCCCAGCCCGAATCAGGGCAGTAAGCCTTTGGGTATTTCCTGTAAATGGTGAGTGGCTGGTTCTTTGCTGTTAGACCTTTGAGTGAAGCACTCAACTTCAGCCGCGTCAATGCGGCAGGCTGTGAAATACCTACGTGTGTGCAAGAGCAAAAGCCCCAGTCCACCGGCTAAATGCAATGTCAAGGTAAAACTTCTCCAATCGAGCTTAAAAGGGCCAGTGCAGTCAGCTGTGAGTGTCAAGAAAAGATTGTGCTCTGTGGTAATGAACACTGATTCCCAGCAGGGGGCGGGGGTGGGGAGGGGGTACCTGCGTAGTGCTGTACCCCAGTGTAGGCTTGCTGGAGGGGGTCGGCCACCGTTGGGCTTTGTGCTGCAGACAGAAAGAGAGAACGGTGGATCTTTTGTAGAAGGGCAAACTCTTTTCGAGCGGCTTAAAATAGTCCTTTCTCTCCCTGCGTTTCCCTCAAAGCTGTGGTCCACAACATTATGGTCCTGCTGGGAGGGGGAGGGGGGGCAGGGGGTACAGAGAGGACCTAGGCAGCATCAGAGGAGGGGGTGTCCTACCCACAAAAGAATAGTCTCCCCTCCTATTAATGGGCCGCATTACATCATTAAAAACGAGGTACTGACAACAGACAGGCCAAAATACGACCCCCCCCCCCCCCCGTCCGCCCCCTCTCTTATAATCTTTACGGCAGACAGTGGTATGTTAATGCATCGACCCTCTGGCGTTCCCTCTGAGAGGAGGAAGAGGGACCAAAAAAAATAACAACAAAAACAGTGGATAAACATGCCCCCCCGCAGCAGGGGGGGTAGAACAGAGCGACTAGCAATATCATATTTCACAGTTCTATAAAACTCTCCCTCCCACAAATGTCTGCATCAAATATTAACCACACAGCAAACAAGCTACTTTGTAGCTCATTATCACTGCAGCTGTCTTATATAATGGAGTCTCTGACTTCCAAAGGGCTGGTGACCATCCTGCCCTTACCGGACCAGCGAGGCCTTGTGCCTCCACACACACAGGCCTGCATGCTTTATAGGCCCTGGGGGGGGGCTGTCAGCATAGCAGGGGAGCGCCGATTAAAGCTTGCTGCGGCGACACGTGACTCACCCGGGTAGGGATGGATCCCGTTGGTGTATATGGGCTCGGAGGTAGGGTGCCCGTTACTCTGCGGGGGCAGGGCGCTGAAGCCGTTGACTCCGAGGGGCGCGGCGATGCTGTGCACGGCTGCGGCACTGATCCCCGGGGGGGTGCTGGTGCCTGCAGACGGAGGAGAACCGGGTCGCTGAGGCCAGCGGGGGGGCTCGTGTCTGACCCGATCGGAGCTACAAGACCACTCTAATTGGACCCGGGGGCTTAGAGCTATCTGTCTATTACCGGGCTCTGTTCCCTCAAGGTACATTCCAGGTTTGTCACCTTGTCAACGCCTTCCCTTGACAAGGGATTATTAGCGCCCCCCCTCCCCCTCCCCCCTGAAGGACATTTAAGTCAAACAGGATTAAATTTGATAGGCATTACATTAGTGGACGTGCATTTTTTGGATTACAAAAGCTGGATGTAGCACGAAGCCACTCGATTTAATTCAATCACCCCCCCCCCCCAAACCCCAGGTAATCAGCTGACTTGGCGAGGGTCGATGAAACGGGGTCTCGTGCTCCCTGGAAGCGAGGGACACACACCTTTGGCTTTAGACGAGGTGACCTCGCTCATACATTAACGGATGGACTGGTTGCCGAGCAACAAGAGGACAACCCACCAGCCGTGTGGAGACGGTAAGGGTCCCGACTGCACTCACTCAGTGTGACCCCTAGGCGTCCCGCCACGGGAACTGGCCTGGTTTCGACCCGCCTCCTCGACCCGAAACGGGGCTGGTCTGGCACAAGCCCCTGGGCTGTCGGGGCGAGTGGCATTATGCTGGCGGGCGAGAGCCAAAAGGTGCCCATTTCCTGTCTGACTGCACACTGGCGCACCCACAGCTCTGGCCCCCCCACACTGACGGCTCACTGGGTCTGCCAGCCCACAGTCATTTGGCTGCGACACCATGAGCTTATGACCCCACCCCCCACACAGAGAATAATTTCATTATTAATGGGCAATCTACCTTTGCAGGAAGCCAAGCAGAGGAATGTGGGCCACAGAGGAAAGTGCAAAGGTGAGGTCCAATACCCCAGGGGGGTTAACCATGGGCGTGGTCCAATACCCCAGGGGGGTTAACCATGGGCGTGGTCCAATACCCCAGGGGGGTTAACCAAGGGCGTGGTCCAATACCCCAGGGGGGTTAACCATGGGCATGGTCCAATACCCCAGGGGGGTTAACCATGGGCGTGGTCATAGACTTCAGGAAGGTAACTATAGGAATGGCTGTGTACTTCATTCAAGTGTTGCAGGCATGACTATGTANAGGGGGGTTAACCATGGGCGTGGTCATAGACTTCAGGAAGGTAACTATAGGAATGGCTGTGTACTTCATTCAAGTGTTGCAGGCATGACTATGTAGCTGAGGAGGGGGACGACTGGGCGCGTCTGTGTACCTGAGGAGGGGCAGGACTGGGCGCGGCTGTGTACCTGAGGAGGGGGACGACTGGGCGCG